AACATGGCAAGCATTGTCGCGCGCTGCTACGCTCACACGCTCATTCGTCGCGCGACTTACCTTCTAAACGCTAACTTATTGGCTTTGCTTTGGTTTGTTTTTCCTTTTCGCCCCAGCTTTGCTACGCTTCGCTTCGCTTAGTTCAATTGTTGGTGCGCTGAGGCGAGTATGTGAACCAACTTCAAAACCTCTTCAACGCTTATGGCCAAAGCGCGACCACACTACAGCGCACAACATAACTCAACTTAACATGCCGCTCCACTCCACTCCACTCCACTCCACTGCACTTCACACCACACCACTTCACACACTCAACGGTGAGCGGCGGCAAGACAGACACATGATGGCAGCAGAGCGTCCACTCTGGGAGCCTTCACAAGCGCTTACTTTGAGTTGAGCTTTTCAGTTTCTTACAGTGTGTCAGCGCGGATGGCGGTGCCGTCGTCGTCTTTATTTGCGTAGTAATTTTTCCGTCTTCGATGGTTGTTTAAATTCAAAGTTACACGAACGCGTAACTTTGCCTGCTTCTTCAAAACAATTCAAGGTGTGTTACAAATATGCCGCACGCTTACATATGTACTTATATATGAATAAACCATATGTAATTATATAGGTACAGTGAACCACAACCGCACCGCGCTCATTAGCGTAGTACAAATTGAAATGCGCCTGCGCGCGCGCTCGCCCGCTAATCGTATAAAACGCTTTACAAGTGAAAATAAATACTAGATACATACCTACAAATGTATATTTGCCGTGCATGAATAGGTGTGTATGTCTGTGAGAACTACTTTGTGAAATAAAATCAAATAGCAAAATTAAAGTTAAAATAACCTGCGCGAAAAAAGCAACAGTCGCCGCAACCGCCACCGCCACTACCGCCATCAGCCACATCAACGTAACAGGTGTAACAGCGCTGTTGGCGCTCTATATTATTATCATTATTATTGTTGTTTGTGCTATTATTGTTCGGCTTTTTGCATTTCTTGTTGTTACTTCATCGACTGGCATTGTTGTGAATGTTTTGCGGGTGCTGATCGGCGCGATTAGGTATGGCGCGGCCGCGTCTTGGTCGCCGCTTAGCCAAATGCTATGCCGCGCCATGTGCCGTGCGGGCCGCGTTGCCGTTTTGTGGTGTGGTGTGGTTTGGTGTGTGCGCGCGCGCGTGTCTGTGTGATGTGTGTGGTGTGTGTGTCGCGAGCAACGGGCTACGAGAACCGTAGCTAAATAACCGTGTTTGTTATGTGCTTTTTAAGCTACGATTACGAAACCGTAATAATGCAGCTGCAACAACAACTGCAATAACTAATATGAATATAAAACGAGAATTAAAAGTCACACAAATCAAGATCGCTAAATAATGGGTATAACTGTGTAAAAGAAGGTTGCTTATAAAAACGCGGCAGCACATTTACAATAGATACATACATACATACGTACGTAAGTGCTGGCCTATAATTAATGAAACGGCACATCTGCATATGTTTAACAATAAAAGGAATGTGATGGCAAAAAAACATAAATCTTTTGGCTAAATGATGGAAACGTTGTGAATACCAAGTAGTTAAAACGGAATGAACAAAATAAATAAATTATAAAAAAAAAATAATAAAACATAAATTATAGAAACAACAGCAATAAATATGTACGAGTAATACTCATATACAAGGTAAACTAGATTTTTACTACCTGACCATCTTTTGTTAAATATTTATTACCGATTTTAACCCTTACAGGACCATAAACCTGTTTAAGAAAATTGCAAATTGCAATGTCAAAGAAAAAGTTAATGCAAATTGTTGGTCCTAAATATATTTATGTATTTTTTAATTTTCCTAAAATATCTAGATGTAAATGAGATAATTTCATATTTTTTCCACAAAAATAAAAAAATCTCCGAAATAACGTTTTGCAATAGTTGGTAAGGTTTTTTAAATTCTTGTGATAAATCAATTTTTTGCAGAAAAAAATAATTTTATTCCGAAATCTGTAAAAAAATTTAAAATAAATATTTTCTCAAAAAAAAAAAATATTATCTACTTTTAAAACTGAACTAAATAAAAGTTTTTATTTTTATTTTAGGGATGAAAATAATTCTCCCAAAAAAATTATTCCTCCCCAAAAACACTCATTACCCAAAAATACTTTTTTTTATTTATCCTTTTGGTTAAATAACTCTTTTGATACATATTTTATTTTAAAAAAATTTATTATTTTTTATTCAAGAAAAAATTAAAAATATTATTATGTACACACACAATCGAGGTAAAATTGCAATTCATATTTTTTTTTTCAAAACAAATTAGAAAATATTGTTTTTCAATTTTTGTAAAATATGGTAAATTGAATAGTTTTGATGAAAATTCAGGGGTTTTCCTTAACCTATTTTTCCTAAAATCACTAAAAATGTTAAAAAAAAATTACATAATAGGTGGTGAAATATTACACAGGCTAACAAAATGGAAAGATTTTGATGCGGAAGATTTTAAAGCTGTTGATCGATTTTTTGGTGGTGATTAAGAACCTGTATGTGCAAAGTTTCCATCAGCTCCAGATTTTGAGAAAAATGAGGTAAAAGTGTTAGAAATAGCTTTAATATTTACCGCACCAAAATCAGTGTTGTCCTGTGTTATTTGCCCAATTTTTGGTACTTTTGTTTTTAAATGTTTTTTTTTTTTTAATTGTAAAATAAATTTATTAAAACGTAAGTACAGAACCGCCAAAATGCAGAACTTTTTGGAAAACGTGGCCATGAAGGGGTTAAGCGCTAAAAGTGTGTGTGAAAAAATCCTTAGATGTTAGTAAGAACATCAAAAATTATGATTTTTACAGACAAAAGCTCCGTACTAGGGTGTCCGATTATTCGTATTTTTTCGAAAATTCGTATTTAATCGAAAAAGGGCAATTTGATTGGAACCGGTTCCTTGTTTCAATATTAAGAAAACCGGATTTTTTCGAAAACCGGTTATCGAGTTATTCGAAAAATGACAACTTAAAAAAACCGGTTCCCATTTCGAAATTAAGAAAAACCCGATCAAACCGTTTTTATTTTACATATTTTCCATACATACTGAGAAAAGGGTCAGCTAAAAATATTCCTTTCATCACAAGATTTGGTAACTATAACTAAATGATATAACTATTGCCAAAACATGCGTTGAGGGAAACATATTTACATGACGTAACCAAGCTCTTTTCTCAGTGTACTCTTGATCAGAAAATGACCAAAATTACAATAGAGTATAACGATTAAAAATAGGTATAGCAAGCTTTGTCGGGGAAAACCTGGAATAAGTAGAACCGGCTTCCTTGATAATGCGAATGCGCCATGCGATGAACCAGACCAACTATACATATATAGTAGACAAGCTTTGAAGAATCAATCACCATCTTCGTCAACTCTCGCCGCTTGAATTTCTTCATCTTCCGGCCCGCGGTACTTTGATACAACTCCATTCTGGATATTAAACTCTGCAGTCCGATCTGAATAAGATGCTGCGACGATACTAACCATCTCAAATGCCCACTCACATCAGTTCAATGTAGGATTTTCGTTCGGTTTTCCTTTTATTTTTTAAGTAATTTTTGCAAGTTGGAAAATTTTCAGTATTTAGATATAAGATTAATACAATTTTTTAGTTTTACTTTCAATAAAACAAATATTTAGAATTTCTTGATTCCGGTTTATTAATAAACTAAATAAGAACCCGGTTAATTCCATTCGGTTTACTCGATATTCGAAAAACCAAGATATCATACCACCTAAAAATATTAAAAAAATTGTTTGAAACCGATTTTGAATAACCGAGTTGATCACCCAAGTACATAAACTTTTTTAATGAAAGAGCTTTTCCAAATGTATGTAATTGTGGCTGACAACCGGCGGCGAAATTCGGCCTAAAGTGGTGATACCACGACTAGAAAAGCTTTCCTCCGCCTTTGCTGAACCGTTAAGATTCCCTGACAAACCATGATCATGCTCGCTGCTCTCACTGCAGCTTGGCTATCGGATCCAAATACGACTATAAATGAGTGTGCCGCAGAGGCCTTAATACCAAGATTTGGCTAATTCAATCATATGATAAAGTCACACTATTAATTTTAAGTTCGGGCTTCTCAGCCGACCAGTTTTAGTTTAGCACTAAATGAAGCAGATGCATTCATAACGTTTGAGTTAGACTAACGAATTTAAATAAATCTAAATATAATTATCATGTCCGCATATCCAACAGCATCTCAACCGAGCTCCTGTGACTTGAATAAGAGTTCTTAACCCATCATTGTTGCTCTAATGTTGAGACTTATCTAAATAAAAGCCTTTCGAGCTACGAAAGCACCTAAAACTTCAATCCAAGTTGTTATGTAAACGGCATTAAATTTCAAAAAAGCAATCTCAACTCCAAATTGGCATTGAAAACGCACATTAAATATTAACAAGTAAGTTTTAGCAAAAAAAAAAAACCGACTTAAATTCTCATATATAAAAAAAATATCCAATGATCGAATCTAAACCAGATTAATATGGGACCACCTCTGAGACACTACCTTTCCGATGCAAAAAGAATTATCGAAATCGGTTGACGTTGGCATAAAAAAAAATATATTCCCACGAACTGATAACCTCCTCCTTTTTTGGAAGTCAGTTAAAAAGGTTGAAATTAACAATAGCATTCCACAAAATAGACAATAAACTCGGTCTTAACAGTAGTTATCATTACAGCAGCTACAAAACCTAACGGGCTTAAAATTATGCTCAAAAGTGCCAATGAAGCACTTTATAATGAAATATTCTAAACAAATTTGTGGCCACTATTATCCGACATGCAGACAGAAAAAGTGTCTGCTTGAAATTTGGTAGCTATAAAAAAGCATAGTGACCACTTCCAAATACAATAAAGGAAGCAAACTGTGAATTAGTCTACTCACACGCCCGCTGGGAGAAGCATTACGAAATCGAGAAAGAGTTGATTATTTGTATGCTAATGAGCGCTGCTTACATAATAATTTTATATCAAATGAAATGCCACTTTGTAAAAATTTATTGTACTACTTTCATATGTGTATTAGAAATAACAGATCGAAATAAAAATAATCGATGCAGGAAGAAATCGTCAAAAAATAAATCGATTTTTCAAGATCGATTCATATATTTTACTTAATTTGTATAAAGGCACAAAACACAGCGATCTGACCAACACTGAAATTACAAACATTTATTGCAATTAATTGTTAAAACTTATCCAAAAGCTATCAGGCAACAATCCATAAATAATTAGAAGAAAAAATGTAAGGTTATACATACCGTCGCCCAATAAAGCTTAAGTTTGTGCTGCTATGTGATTTTTTTTTGCAATACGGACAATTTTTGAATTTCTTTGTTTTTGCTAATTCTAAATCTCACTCCTTAATTACGCTTTTTGAAAAAAACATTTAGGTATGTAGTTTTGTAGGCCATTGAATCTTAGTTTAATAGAGTACAATTTTGATCTCTGGCAATTTTTTCCACCGAATATGTGGCTCATTTCCTCCATAGCGCGAAATTGTTTTTTTATATGGAACTTAAGCGAGAAGAAAAAAATCGCCAAAAATCAACGCTAAGTCCTGACACCTAAAATTCGATGGGCTATAAAACTGCATACTCAATTTTTTTTTTGTTTAAAGAAGGCAATTACGGTATGCACCTTTTTAACGAAAATATCCATAAAGTTTGAAACTCCAATTTTTGAAGTTTTTGTTGTAGTATTATTACCCATAATTTTATGTAGAGTTTCCCTGATGAGTCCTGCAGTCGGAGAAGAAAGAGAAGCAGGTCATTGAATTCTTTGGGCTTTACTTTCTAAAGTTGGAAAGGTAGGAGTTGCCAAGCCTGCATTTTTTTACTAGCCCCAAATTCAATTTTCTTAAAAATTTTATAAATTTTCTTGGGCAAACCGTAGATCAATATGCATCAATTGATGAAAAATCTAATGTGGATTCTCGGATTTTTTGGATCGATTCACGGATCGAATCGGAACTAATAAGTCGACAAAAAGTCGAATCGAAAGGGCTGGATTAATCGATCTTCGATTTAATCGATTTAAAAACGGCATCTCTAATGTGTATGTGGTATTTATTAACGCTGAATTCCACATTATCATCCCACGTTTATGAATTTCATTCCACCTTCTAAGTTGATCTAAGTTCTATGATGACAATAATATGTACATATGTGTGTACCTACACATGGGCGTAGCAAGGAAGGGGCTGGGGGGTGCTCGAGCATCCCTCCCCCCCTTAAATTTCATTCTGGCTACGCCGATGTACCAACATTTGTACTTAGTTTGTTATTTCTAGGTATTATTAGTGGAAATACTTATTAGGGTGATTGACTCGGATTTTCCAAACCTGTTTCCATCGTTTTTTGTTTTAGATATCTACAGGCGTTTTTTTTGAAATATTGTTTTATTTATCGAATATTGTGACACTTTTACTCCACCTCCGAAAAAGCTTTTTTTATGCTACCCGCTATTTAAAAAAAAAAAAAAAATGGATTTTGATGTTGCTAGGACCAGAAATTGAACCATGGGGCTCCCGAGTGGCAGTAGGCCCGCCCAAGCACTCGGCAGCGGCAACAGCACTATCCGAAAAAAGTCAGGCAAAATGCAAAAACGTATTAAAAAAATGTTTCAC